TCTCTCTCTCTCTCTCTCTCTTTCTCTCTCTCTCTCTCTCTCTCAGCAACCAGAATAGGGCAAAGGTCAGGAGAGTCTTGCTGTGCCCTAAAATGGACTCTCTCTCTATTTCTCCAACTTTGACGTTCCTTTTGCAACTTGAATAGGGCAATCGGGCTGGAGAATCGAAGAGAAGAAACCTTGGTTAATGATCTCGATCTTGTCTCCATAGCCATCGGTACCAGGTCACTGTTGTTTATTTTTCTCTCTCGGTATCTATCTATCTGTTTATATCTCTCTGTATGTCTCTCGGATGTCTGATTTTAATGGAGATTTATGGGTTGTATTGATTTGACGAGGTAGAGGAGCGCCTGCTTGTGACTGAGAGTTTTGTTAGGTTTCTCTCTCTTTCTTTGTCATGCGATATTCTCAGGCTCTTACTTCCCTTGCGAGGAGTCGCAAGAGAAGGAAGCAGCCTTCTCGCCCACCGTGTGGTTGTGAATGCGAGCTCTCTCAAGCTTCAAAGAAGCACAAGAGGCTTGATGACCTCTGTGATCCTCACTCCTATCGCTCTACCCTAAAAAGAACCAATCATCTGTGGGAGAAGACTGGTAAGGCCTCATCGGAAACTACTGACCTTCCAGATTTGGGTCTTCGACGAAGCTCACGCCTTAACAGAACATCTGATTCTCTTCCTTCTCCTCAGATTAATAGAAACAATGTCGAGAAAAAGGAGGAATTGGACAAAGTCAGGGTTAGGGCTGAAAAGGCAGGTGTTTCCGATGAAAAGGTTGTTGGAAAAACCAGGGTTTCTAATAGAAAGGATTTGAATAAACCATTTCTTGACGATGCGGAGAAAACCAGTAGCAGGGAGCGATGGCCTAGATCAAGAGTAGTTAAAGATAGGGCTGGTTTTCATAATGAGGGTACAAGTGTTTCTAGACGAGCAAAGAGGAAGCTTCTGAAGGATTTGGATGTCTCAGATGAGTACGGATTCAATGGTGGCATCTCTTGGGCAAGGAAATCAAAGAGGCAGTTTAGGCCAAGGGTGTGTTCTATAGAGAAAAGTGAGGAAGAAATCAGCGATGAGGTTAGTTATGGAAAGAGCAATGAGAAAACATTGAGGGACTGGCTGAGGCATAGTAATGGTGGACTCAATTCACGAGCACCTAAAGATTTGGTTTGCAAGGAGAAAGGCGATGTTGGTGAAGGTATAGCTTTTAATAAATCAAACTCTATGAGCCACGGGGATGCTGGGGAATTGAAGAATGATAATCGTTTACAAGTTGACAGTGAAAGGATGCAGGTCGCAAGTTCAAGTGCTGCTCTTCTGGTGAGGAATGATGCTCTTGAATCAAAGCAGTTTCCATCATGTGACGATGCATTAGACAACGAGAGATTGGAGAAGAATAGGGGCTCAGAAAACTTAATATCTTGTGTAGTTATGGATACTCCAAACAAAATTGATGATTCTGGCATGGACCCATCAGCTGTTAATGCTCCACCGCCCATACCCAATTGTAATTTGGAGACAAGTCCAAGTGGGAAGGACTTGGAAAATGCAGATCCTTGTTTAAAAGGTGACAGAGAGATACAGCCTGACATTCCCATCAATGGTGTTGAGAATCCTCAAAGTATTATTCCTCCTGGTTCTAGAGAACCGATTGGCGAAAACGATCCTCTTGGCTCTGAAGAACCTATTGGCGAAAACAATCCTCTTGGCTCTAAAGGACCCACTGTGGAAAATGATAACCACATTAAACGCAATATAAGGGAAGTGTGCCCTGGTGTTGTGGATTATAGCTTTTACAGGGTTGAAGAAAGATCAGACAATCAAGAATCATCTCAACGTGCAAATGTAGATGATAGCAAGCTCAAGTCAAATGTTGATATTGCAAAACCAGGGATAACAGAGGGGCGAAGGTGCGGTCTATGTGGTGGAGGGGTTGATGGAAAGCCTCCAAGGAGGCTGTTGCAGGATGGTGCTGACAGTGATAATGAGGCCTATGATGGGTCATCGGCTTCAGATGAGCCTAACTATGATGTGTGGGATGGTTTTGGTGATGAACCTGGTTGGCTTGGGCGCCTTTTGGGCCCTATAATTGATCGTTTTGGAATCCCTGGCATATGGGTACATCAACATTGTGCAGTTTGGAGCCCTGAGGTGCGGCTTATTGACCTGTATATTGTTGAATAAATTATATTATTTTCTTGATATGAGTGTTGATGTCTCCATGTTCTTCTTGTCTGCATGCTGAATGTTTGGATGCATGGTATTTTACAGTTTATTGTACTTGTAATCTGACAATTAGTAGGTTTGTGGCATTGGTTTTATTCTGGAACTAATGCTTCACATCTATTGTGGTCTTTTAAATCTTGGATAGTCTGATATAGAATATGAAACATAGAGATCTGCTTTCCGAATTTGCAGTAGACAGTGATTGATGGTTCCTTGGGATGACTTAATAAAAAGCTCTGTACTTTTCTTTGAAATTGTGTGTAGAGCAATGTAAAACCTACGAACTAAATAGTTGTTTTTCTGCCCAAGATTTTCAACGTTGCTCAACAAAGGAACTTCCAACTCTTGCATCCCTATTGTGTCTTTCCAGCTCTTAATTTTAGGGGGCATATTTACTCAAATGAAGTTTCCTAATCAACTAGATTGTAATCAAATTGTTCAAGACTGTTTCCAAATTGTTGAAGTTTAGTTTGTTATACTTAGATATTACCAACACAAATATCATGACAATTGCGATTAGTCCTGTTCTACAGGACTATGACAGGTTTAAGAGATATGTTCATTTGGATATTCGAGTGAGACTATTTTAAAATAAAGGTGTTGATATATTTCTTCTGACCTGCCAATATACCCTGTTCGATACATACAAAGGTTACAAACAAGACTGTAGGATCAGAGCCCCCTGATCAAGCCACTTGCATGGAACATCTGTCTCACATGATCGATGAATCCAATTTTGGTTCCAAAAAACCTTGTTTCAGGAGGTCCTTGCGAGGACCATTTATTTTCTCCCAAGTGTTCTGGGCCTTCATTGAAGATGTGGTGTCTTATTAGTTTTCCACCTCTTGGAGGGTATTACCATTTTGGCTTTTTCTTAGCTCATATATCATGTTTAAATTTAATTGTGAATATGAATTACGCCCAACTATAGATTATAACTCTTACATACCCTAATCATGGATGCTCGACTTACTCCTTGTTTCCAACATCACATTACTACCTTCACGACACTTTCCACCAGGTAATCTTGGGTTGTTTTTATGGAACCTGTTTAATGACTTATGAAAGAACAGTGATTGTAAAGTGTTCAATGGGCTCTTTGTTGAGCTGTGTTGGAATTTTTATTGTTTTCTTCAATTTATTCTGTTAAATCACAGTTGGGTTTTTACTCTTGGAAGTTCAAGATTTGATAGCTTGGTTTTTCAGGTTTACTTTGCTGGTTTGGGGTGCCTGAAAAATGTCAGAGCTGCACTTTGCCGAGGAAGAGCATTGAAGTGCAACCGCTGCGGCAGGCCTGGAGCAACGATTGGGTGTCGGGTTGACCGCTGTCCTAAAACCTATCACTTGGTATGCTCAGTTGTCATTCAAAATCTTTTTTCTTTCTTTATTTTTTTGTTGTTGTCATTGTTCCACCTTTCTAATGGCCAAGTTAGTTTGGTAACATCCTTTTCTCAAGCTCTTTTTGGTACTTACAGCCTTGTGCGCGAGCTGAAGGCTCTGTCTTTGATCATCGAAAATTCCTTATTGCCTGTTCGGATCATCGCCATCTATTCCGACCTCAAGGAGAACTATACCGTCTGCGGATCAACAAATTGAAAGTCAGGAAGATGAGATTTGATACACGGAAGCAGTCAAATGATGCCTGGCGCAAGGACTTGGAAGCGGAAGAAAAGTGGTTGGAGAACTGTGGTGAAGATGAAGAGTTCTTGAAGCGTGAAAAAAGAAGGCTTCATCGAGATCTCTTGAGAATTTCGCCCGTCTACATTGGTGGTTCTTCTTCTGATAGAATCAAGTTGAATGAGGGTTGGGAGTCGGTGGCTGGGCTCCAGGATGTCATTCGATGCATGAAGGAGGTTGTCATTTTACCACTTTTATACCCAGAATATTTTAGTAGTATAGGACTTACACCTCCAAGGGGAGTTCTTTTACATGGATACCCTGGGACTGGTAAAACACTTGTTGTTCGAGCCTTGATTGGAGCATGCTCTCGTGGAGATAAGCGGATTGCTTATTTTGCTCGTAAAGGTGCAGATTGCTTAGGAAAATATGTTGGTGATGCTGAGCGTCAACTCAGGCTGTTATTTCAGGTTGCTGAGAAATCTCAGCCATCCATAATATTTTTTGATGAGATTGATGGGTTAGCGCCAACACGATTCGGGCAACAAGATCAAACACATAGTTCAGTTGTATCGACATTGCTTTCCCTCATGGATGGTTTGAAATCTCGAGGTTCAGTCATTGTAATTGGTGCAACTAATCGGCCTGAGGCAGTTGATCCAGCTTTGAGGCGCCCTGGAAGATTTGATAGGGAAATTTATTTTCCTCTTCCATCTGTCAAGGACAGATCTGCTATTCTTGCCCTTCACACTCGAAAGTGGCCGAGGCCTGCATTTGAACCATTGCTGACAAAGATAGCTGAAAGAACTGCTGGGTATGCAGGGGCTGATCTCCAGGCTCTTTGTACTCAAGCTGCTATGATTGCTTTGAAGAGGACTTGTCCATTGAAAGAACTTTTATCTGATCCTGAACGTAATAAATGCATTAGTCTTCCAACATTTGCCGTGGATGAAAGAGATTGGTTAGCTGCTCTTGCATGTGCCCCTCCTCCCTGCTCCCGAAGAGGTGCAGGAATGATTGCAAATGATGTCACCCCCTGTCCTCTTCAGAGTCATCTTTTTTCTTGCTTGTGTCAACCATTGGTTGAGTTACTCATTTCCCTTTACCTAGACGGGCACATAGTCCTTCCTCCCCCCTTGTTCAAAGCTGCAAAACTTATTGAGATTTCCCTAATTTCTGCCTTGGAACATAGGAAGCTTCCTACTGTTTCCTGGTGGTCTGCTATTAATTGTTTGATAAGGGAGCCAGATGTTGCAAGAGACATTCAGAAAAGCCTTTCTCGGGCTGGCTTATTGATTGACAATGGTGAAAATGATGATGGTCTTGAGGATTGTGATTCCTGTGTGTTGGAGGCTTCTTGTCCACCAGGCTGCATGCTGACTCACAGTAGACTTTATGAGAAGGAAAGATCACGGGGATTTAGAGTTTTGATTGGGGGAAGTCCTAGGTCAGGTCAAAGGCATCTTGCCAGTTGTGTTCTATATGGCTTTGAGGGTCATGTTGAAATTCGGAAGATTGATCCAGCAACTATATCTCAAGAAGGGAATGGTGACATTGTGCAAGGGTTAACACAGATTCTCTGTAAGTGCTCACAACATCGATTCTCCTATGATCCAGTTCTTTCTTGCTTTTGTAGTTGCTATTGGAATTTAGAAATTTGAAAATTATGTTATGCTTTTTGTGGTGGCTGTTCTCCTCGTAGCTGTGTATAGAATACAGGTAGGTCTGCGAGTAATTTAATATATAAGGTTGACATGGAGGACACAATCTTATTGTAATTCTTGGGCATCCCGTCTCCCAGTATATTTGTTCCTTTAGTAGTCTGTCTGACCCGTTCTGTAGCATCTGAACCTTGTTGGGATTTGATTGTGGATGTGATCGAGTTTTTTGAATCTTTGTGGTTTTGAGTGCATACAATTCGTTGGAACTTTAGGGCCTTACTGCATTTGTTGCTCTTCGCATAAATGTGCAACACAAATTGGTTTTATTTCTCCCTTTTATAAGTGGAATATCATGTTTTTGTGTTTGTGCATCTGGCTATAGAAAAGTCAAATATTGGTCCTGACTTCTGATAAGTCTACTATGAACTCTACTTGTGTGTACACTCGTGGTTGCATGCGCTTGTTGTGTCTGTGTGTGTATGTTGAATATGTTCACATGCCTCATATTGTTCCCTTCGTTTATTGATGGTGAATTTTGTCTTCTATGCCTTGTGTCACCTTTGGGAGAGTATCGTTTGTGTATGTTTGGAGTATATTTTGACATCTTGCAAGTTACATTAACTAATTGTTTCAATAGATGATATACGTTGTTTGCACAATTTTTCTGAAGCTTTCCTAGAGATTGTTTCCTGTGGGTCTTTGTGTTCAATAAACCTCAATACCTTGTCAAATTGGGTTTTTGTGTCTCAAATATCATGCACATCCAGATAGGATGTGTGAAGTGTTATTTTGGTTTTGAGTAACTTGGGCAAATTCATAACAAAGGTATTAGCACTAGGGTTGGTTGTTTGTATTCTGATCTTGTGCATGTGAGGGATGAGGGCTTTTATAGTGTTTATGGAAATTATTTTCGCTTACTGCCATATAGACTTTTTTTTAAGCTGTAATTAAGCGAAAAATTCTGAATGAATTGTGCACAAAAAATAAAAGGAAAAGACAATGTGAATGAGTTGATTAACTTGATTGCATCAGTCACTAAGTTTTTACTTTGAGTCTTTACTAAGGTTCTGAATTTGTCTTGAGAAGTTATGGGATTAGCGGAGTTTCAAAATTAACTGGAGGGTATCTGAAATCTTGTGTGTTTTGCTTCTTTTTAGGGCGCTTGACCTTTTTTTTTGAGCTAATCTTTACGTTCTTTTTCTAATTATTGAACTAATTTTTATAACAGTGAGATGTCTAAGTATTGGTCCATGCGTAATATACATGCCGAGAATTGATTTATGGGCTGTGGAGATTTCTGACCATCAAGCCACGGAAAAAGATACTGATTTCTGTATAAATGCTGGCAACAAATTCCTAGAGGCAGAAGGAGCAATTAAAGCATCACATGCATGGAATTCATTGGTCGAGCAAGTTGATTCTCTGTGTCCTTCATCCTTGATGATTTTGGTAATAAATTATGCTTTATTATGCTGTTGCATATTTAATTCTGAATTTTGTTCTATTGGCATTAGTATTGACACGATTCTATCCTTCTGTTACAGTATTACTTGATATTGTGCAAGGAAATGGGCACCATTCATTTAATCTTTTACATAGTTAAGATATTGCCAATTCTCTTACGTAGTTAAGATATTGCCAATGCACAAATTGATCACTCTATACGTCTCCTAGTATAATGTATATTTATCTGCTGTTGACTGCTGTGTTCTTGCTTTTATACCATCTTCAGTTTGTGAATTTTGGTTCATCATTTATTTAATTTCCACGGATTAGTGAGCATAAAGGAATAAATTAATACTAACGGTCGCATCTCAAAGCGGTCATTGCTTGGCTTGAAGGCTAACCAAAATATTGAAGGCTGCAATGCGAAGGTTTTCTCAATGCTGACTTGCTTGCAACTTCAAAATTTTTATGTGGAAGTCTCTCTTCTAGCTTGAGGCTTCCTCACTATATCATATGTAGGGCGCTCTGCCTTAGGGAGTCCACTGTCTCATGTATTCCTGGTGTTCTGGGATCTAGTCTGTTGGTGTTATGGTAATATTTCCTGTTTCTCTTACTATGTTTCCTGGATCAAATGTTGGGGCCTTGGAATGTGGTGATTATGGATGTCTTTGAAATTGCCTGCAGTGCTGTGCAATACAAAATTTCAAATGTGGTTTGGGTTCTCGAAAGTGATGCACAGAAGCCTGCAATGAAATATCATTAGAGATGACTGAGAGAGCATATTTGCTGGCTCACTTGTCTCTCTGCAGCAACCTCTAGACTCTTTGCATGTCTTTGGTTACTATTACTTTTGCGTGCCACCTTGGTACAGCTTCTTGCTTTGCTATAGCTTTTGATATGTGACCTTATCCACTGGTTTCTCCAGCACCATCCTCAAAGGCCAGAGCCTATGTTTCTATCACTTCCCTCACTTAATAGACCCCATCTCTATCGTGCTTATGCTTTAAGTTACTTCGTCTGATTTCAACTTTAACGCTGTGATCCACTTCAGCTCTGGGACCCCTGTGCTATCTAACTGATTCTTTTGTAGGGCGAGCTGATCTGCTCGATTCACTCTTATTGCTATGCACTAGAGGACCACATCCTCAAATTGGCTCTTTGCTTGAGTATCATATTTATGCTTTCGTGTCTTACCAAGCTTTCATGTTTGTATCTCATGATTTAGGTGGTATATTCTCGATCCCTTTGTGCCTTCTCAGGCATCTCTAGTTGAACATCTGTTGGTTTCTCACAATTTAGCTCTTTCTGAAACTCTCATTGGCGAGAAGTTGCAAACTAACAATTTCTTTATCTTTTTTCACTCTCTCTCTCTCTCTCTCTCTCTCTCCTTTAAAAACATTTTAGTAATGGTTAGGAATGGAACCTTTGGTGTCATGCTGTGGATCAACCACCTTGACCACCCAGCCTGAGGTCCCTTTCCTAAATTAACAGTTTCTTTATCATCATAGCATTATGCAAGACTTTTAGCCTTTTCTCCCTGGTCCAATTCATTCTCTATTTCTCACAGTTGCTTGGCAGAAATCTATGCTGGCTGTCTGAAACTTGAAATCAAATGAATGAAGGTCAAAGGCCGTTAGATATGTTAAGGGTCGTAGATATAGGCTCACAGAAGTTTGTATGCTCCTCAACGAGCAACCTGATGAATTGTTTCTTCTCAATTCATAATAGTTCGAAAAACAAAGAAGCTTCGGAGAGGTGTAATGGAAGGAAACAGGATGGTCTCTGGCTTTGTAAATGTATCGGCTTGTGAGTGTTTGTGCATTCATATATATGTCTTTACCATAGTTACCGGGATCTAGAAGCTCTAACTCATACTCTGGAAGCTCGAACCCACGCTTCAAGTCATGGGATCTCGATTCTGGGCATTTCCTTGAATTAGGTATCTCGATACGGGAAATCAAGGAGCTAGATCCCAAAATCATGGGTACGTGAGTAATTGGAACCGATTTCACTACTTGGAATCGAGTATCTTCTAGTTTGGGAGAGAGTTTCACCTGCACATTTTGAGGTTCATACACAATGGAGTGCGGATCTGTAATTTTTATGACCTACAAGCTTTCTAAGGGCCCTGATTTCGAATATATTTTACAGCTTACAGTTTTGCACACCTTGTGAATTGTGACTTGACTAGTTTCAAAGAAAGGTAACAAGAGAGGGCAGGGAGAGAGAAGGGAGAAGATGGAAGGAGATAGAAAATATGAGTTGTGGTTCTAATCGAGGAATGAAATCGCAATTAATAGGCTTAACTTCTTTTGCGCTAGTTCCACTGGGTCCTGTCCACCTCGAAGGACTTACTATTGCTTGAGTGTTGGTCACCCAAATTGAGCCACTCATGGGTTTCCTTATGGGTAATGGAACAACATATATGCGTGGAAATGTGAGGTCTCTCTTGTCTATATGTCCTTGAACCACTAGCAATCATTGATGGGGAGAGCTATTGGGAATTATATATGGTTACGTCTTTCCTTTTTTCTCAAAGGAAAGATTATCTATCACAGCTTTTCGTTTTCGAAAATAATCTACCGCAGCATTCTTAAATATAATCAATTGATAGTTGAGGGGTAATTGTCCAATGCAACCGATTGGTGCCAAAAATGAGGCATGTGCGTACATGGGCAGACCAATGTAGGTAGGTGTGCAATTTTTGTTTGGAACCATGAGTTAATTTTTGGAGTGGAGCTTGGTTAAACAATTGTTCAATGGACTTCGCTCTCAAACTAGAATACCGTGGGTAAGTGATCTTTGTGAGACTTGAAACTAAGCTCGACGGATGGGGATCCCATTTAGTTTAGCTTCTGTTCATGGGCAATTATGGAACACACTCATTTAATGTTAGGGATCTTGATCATTTTACCTTACGATGGACGGAACTCGTTCCCTCAACTAGGATTTTCGAGCTTCCCTCGCTCTTAGGTTCCCGCTTCTTCCGATCCCGGAGCTCCCCTCGCTTCCATTCCTGGGGGTAATATGGTCTTTACAAAGGTTTTTTGTCCATTATTATTATTGTATGGGTATACTTCCCATAAATTTGTCTACTTGCTTATTGGGATTTAACTCTAGACTGGATTGATAATTTTTATTTCATTAAAGCAAAGATGGCAAGATATTTTTCACTTATCAAAAAAAATAAAATTTGTTATATTAAAGTTAAAATGGTATTAGAGAGTACTCCCCTCAAAGCCTGAAAACTTGGCTGAGTCAACTTCGACGCGGCCTAGTTACTATGCCTTGGTGATGAAATTTTGTGCTAGAAATGTACAAAAATAAAATAAAATATTTAGGGGGAAAAAGTGGGGAAAAAGAGATGAATGTATTCAAAATAAACAAGAGTTCAGGAAAATAATGTTTCTAAACAATAACTCAACTCTGAATTGTCCTAATTCTAATTGAAATAAAAGTCCCAATTAAAACAAAATTTGTGATGACATTTACCCCTGGCAGTATAAATAGATCCATAAGTTCTCTAACAACTTTTTTAAACAACTCATAAATCTATAAAATATGATAAACCCTAGAATCCCTTAAAAAATGTTAAAAGCCTAAAAGTAACCGTAGAAAATTCCAAAGAGACATCACCTAAAATTTAATAAGAAATATTAAAAAATTAGAGGCAGCTTGTCTTGCATTACTGGGCACTCTGTCGAGGTGAGTATTCCCTCTACATACTTGGGGGTGAGATTGATATACAACACTCGGGTGAGTACTGTACCAAGTCACCTAAATATTGTAGAACTTGAGCAAACTTGCCTGAATTCTATAGTACTCCGGTGATTCACTACAGTACTTGCCTGAGTACTGTTGTTTTTTTGAAAATGTTAACATTTACTTGCCCAAGACTGTTACTTAACCAGAAAATAAAAGGGGGGCAGAAATCTGCGCCCCTTTTTCATCTCTTTGTCTCTCTCTCTCTCTCTCTCTCGGGCAATGAATTTCTCCTCTCTCTCTTTCTCTCTCTCTCGGTATTGCCTCACACCTCAGGTTCCACATTACGCTCGTTCTAGAAAAGCTCCATCTTTAAGGTTTTTCTTGGTGGTTTTGAGGTACCCGAGTATTATTCTTGTTCCCCTCTTTCTCTCTCTAACACACACACATAAAGGGGGTGGATTTCTGCCTCCTTTTCTCATTTCTCCCTCTCTCTAAAAGTCGGTGAGAAATCTGCCTCCTTTCCTATCCTCTCTCTCTAAAAGGGGTGCAGAAATCCGCCCCCTTGTTTTCACCTCTCTCTAATAGGGAGTGGGAATTTGCCCTGCTGTTTTCTCTTCTTTATCTGTTTTCATTTTCCTCTCTTTAATAAGGGGTGAAATCTAACCCTGTTTTCTTTTCTCTGTTTTCATCTCAATCAAAAAGGGGGTGGAAATCTGCCCTTTGTTTTCATTTCTCTCTCTCTCTCTCTCTCTCTCGCTCTTTGTTTCTTTTCCCAAATGACCCCCCCCCCTCTAAAAAAAAAAAATCATTTCCCTTTTTCTTTTTCTTCGTTTTCTTCTTAATTTTTAGTCCCCCCGATCCCCATCTTTTTCTAGGGCTTGTACACTACTCATTCCAGTCTATTTGGACTCGCTGTAGTTACTCGGCTTGGGAGGGGCAGAGTCCCAAGCATTAGCCCAATATTTAAACCTTGACTCGTCTGTTAGGGATTTAAGTTCGGATGAATAGTTCATGTTATGTGTTTGGATGAATAATACAGGTTTTATTGAATTAACATGATATTAGAGACTCCTTGTTATGTGTTTGGATGAATACAAGGTTTATTGAATCAACATGATATTGGAGACTCCTAGACATTTGGTTTGGAAATTTTGATGCTTAGTTTGGAAACCTGATGGCCAAATCTGTTATCTAGGAAACTTAACCTCTATTTGTGATTTTCAAAAGGTTTGAGCTTTTGGTTTAGTGGTCATTGTGTAAAGGCCATGGTGCACATTTTTAGGTTTGAGTGCCCAAAGAAAAAATTTAACACTTTGTTAGATATTTAAAGATTATTGGTAAATTGATTCCTTAAGTCTCTTTTGTTATTGCTTTATTGGTAAATTGATTCCTAGGATGAAAACCCTTGGAGGGCTTCCAAGAAGAACAAGAAGAGCAAGAAAGCGTTTGAATAGTTTTTTTAGTTGTTTTGGGGTTATTATGTATATGTTTTTTCAATGTATTTCATTGCTGGATCAAGCTTATGATCCATACTATGAAGCTTTGGGACAGAGTGATTGAGCAATGACTAAGGCATGAAACAAGTGTATCTGAAAACCAATTCGGTTTCATGCCAGGAAGGTCAACAACTGAGGCTATTTTTCTACTTAGGCAACTGATTGAGAAGTTTAGGGCGAAGGGAAAAAAACCTCCGCATGGTTTTTCTTAATTTAGAGAAAGCTTATGATAGACTATCTCGAGATTTGATTTGGCTGTGTTGAAAAAGAAAGGAGTCTCCAGACACTGTATCGACTTGGTAAGAGATATGTACGATGGAGCGTTAACTAGTGTATGAACAACTAGTGGAGAGATGAGTGAGTTTTCAGTGACAATAGGTCTACATCAAGGGTCAGCATTAAACCCATACCTCTTTGTCTTAGTTATGTACGACTTAATTAGGTACATATAGGATGAGTTATCGTGGTGCATGTTGTTCGCAGATACATAGTTTTGATCGATGGGACCCGAAACGGTGTCAACACAAAGTTAGAAGTTTGGAGGGATGCTCTAGAATCCAAAGGTTTTAAAATTAGTCGGATTAAGACAGTGTATGAAATGCAATTTTAGTAATAATAGGAGTAGAGATGAGGAAGTAGTTAAGATTGACGACTAGGAAATACAAAAAAGACGACACTTTCAATATCTTGGGTCGATAATCTAGGAAAATGGAGAGATTGGGGAAGATGTCACACACAAAATTAGATCTAGGTGGGCTAATTGGAGATGTGGAATTGGAATTTTATGTGATCGCCGCATAGGTGCATACCAATGAAGCTGAAGGGCAAGTTCTATAGGACAACTGTGAGACCAGCTTTGCTCTATGGGGCTGAATGTTGGGTAGGCAAAAAACAATATACCCATAGAATGAGTGTAGCGGAGATGAGGATGTTGAGATAGATGAGTGGCAAGACAAGAAGGGATAGAATTCGAAATGAATCCATTTGGGAGAATTTAGGTGTGGCTATTGGCAATAAGATGAGAGAGAGTAGACTTAGGTGGGTTGGCCATGTGTGGCGTCGACCAAGTACAACACTTGTTAGAGGTGTGAGTTAGTTCAAGTAGAAGGACTTAAAAAGGCAAGGGATAGGTCCAAAAGGATATGCTTGGAAATAGTTCAGAAAGATATGGGGACTTATGGCTTCACTGAGGCTAGGACCTTTAATAGAGCAGAATGGCAGACCAGGATTTGTGTTGTCGACCCCAATTAATTGGGAAAAGGCTATGATGATAATGATTTCATTGTTGGACTAGTTAGGGACTTTTAGACGTTTTACGAAGTTGGAGAGTTTAATTTCAAGATATACTTAAGTTAGGACTTTTTGGTCAAAAGTTTAATTGTATGGATAAATGTTGTCCAAAAATCATTAAATAGACTATATTTAAGTAGGGTGTGGATGGCTGGAGAGAGATCACACACTGTTTGTTAAAGAAAAATATACTTTGATTGAAGAACAAAGAACAAAAGCCTAAGGCTTGGGCCTTGGGTGGTTTAAGTACCATTGGCCAAAATTGAAGAGAGATGTGCAGTTTGTTGAGAGGTGTTGTATGTGTCAGCTGGCTAAGGTGCAACGACATAATACTGTGCTTTATTCTCTTCCTATTCTTTATGCATCTTGGATGGACGTTAGTGTGGATTTCGTGTTGGGACTTCTGTGGACTCAAAGAGTTATGGTTGTGATAGATTCTCAAATGCTTTTGTACCTTACAAGAAGACCCTGGATGCCACATATGTCGCGAACTTGTACTTCAAGGAGGTGGTGAGGTTGCATGCTGTTCCAAAGACTATAACTCTATATCAGGATACAGTTAACCTTTTCTCCAAAAAAAAACAAAGAGTTTTTCAGCCATTTTTAGGGAACTTTGTGGAAGAAATTGGGCACTCAGTTATAATTTAGTAGTGTTTATCCTCTGCAAACAGATGGCCAGACTGAAGTGGTAAATCATACTCTTAGCAATCTTCTAAGAAGTATTGTGAGGGAAAAGAAGAAACAATGGAACCTAGCATTGCCTCAAGCCGAGTTTGCTTATAATAGTGTTCACAATAGATCTCCTGGTATGAGTCCGTTCGAGATGGTGTATGCGAAAAACCCTACTCAATCGCTTGACTTGGTTCCTATTCAGACTAATGGGGAGGTTCATGTACTGTTGGTGACTGGTTGAACAAATGAAAGGAGCGCATGAGCAAGTGTGTGCTAGTCTAGGAACAAATACAAGGAAGGGGCAGACAAGCATTCACCATTTCAAGGGGATGTGGGAGATTGGGTAATGGTGTATCTTTAGAAGGGGCGGCATTCAGCGGGAAAGTACAGCAAGTTGAATGATTTGCAAGGTAGGACCGTTCAATTTTTTGAAGAAGATGGGCAATTCTTACAAGGTCGCTTTGATTTCACGTATGGAGACTTCAGACATCTTTAATATTGCTGATCTGTTGGAGTATTGTGGTCTGGAGGAGTATGAAGATGAAGATACAACAGATTCCTCCTAATTCTCGCTCATATTTGGAAGTTTTAAACCCTAGGAGGGTTTTCAATGAGAACAAGAAGAGCAAGAAATACTTTGAATAGTTTTTGTAGTTGTTTTGGGGCTATTTCAGATTTTTTTTTTGAAAATTCATTTCAGGACCTGTTGGGGAATCTTTAGACATTTTAATTAAAGTTAGGTATGATTTAAAGTTATACTTAAATTAGGACCTTTTGGTATGAATGGCTGGAGAGATACTTAAGTTAGGTATGATTTAAAAGACAATACTTAAGTGGGGTATGAATGGCTGGAGAGAGATCACACACTTTCTTTTTAGAGAAAAGCATACTTCTATTGAAGAAGAAAGAAAAGAAGCCTAAGGCTTGAGCCCTAGGTGGGAAGTAAACCTTAGGGTTTCCTCAAAATTGCATATGTTTGGCTTGTTTTCTTGCTTTCTCAAATTTCTCTACATCACTTGTACACTGAGAGGAATGCATTATATACCATTCGCTCTGTCCAACTATGCTTATTCGATTTTTCTGCAGCTATGTGCATGCCATGGGGTGCCCTTGCCTATATGTCCATATTGGCATGAATTTGGAATTTCCTGTTTAGTGTACAAGCTTCATTTGACTTTGGCTGTATGGAGTAGTTTTAGATTCTCTGGCTTAAATAACAACTTCATGAATTTATTTTTAGTTTCTCGCATAGAGTTTTTAATACTTTTCACCTTTCGTAAAATATTTTTCATTAAACTGTTACGAGGGTCATAGTTTAATTGACTTAAGTTGCTTTGTTTCTAGAAAATAGTTGCTTTATAATTCATTGTTCTTATCTTCCTTATCGTGGGTTGTTATTGATTTTTTATGTATGTCTTGTAATGTTAGGCTACATGTGAGATGGAGAATCATGTACTCCCATATCAGATAACACAGTTTTTTACGAGTAAAATGCTGAAGGTTAATGATTCGGTTTCTTTGAAGCATACAGTGCCACGATTTTGTGTCCACCTAGATGGATCTTTTGACCGGGAGTTGGTCTTTGAATCATCAGCATCAATGCTCTCGAGGAATTTGGTTCAAGAATATGTTCATATGATACATCACAAGTTGCGCATTAGCAATATTAGTGGCCAGGAGGACAACAGTTGTACCGATGCCAAAGCATCTTCAGACATGAGAAATGACACAAGTGGGTGCCATGTAACTGTTAGAGAGAAAGATACACTACCTGATTCAGAAACGTTGGTTTCCAATGGTGATTCTTTTTATAAAGATGGTCAAGCTAAGCAAAATCATTGGCAGCCTGCAGCATCTGGCCATGATAAAGGAGATATTTGGGTGCGATCTTGTCTAGATTCTGATCCTGGTATCTCTGCTAATATGTTGGGTTTGAGAGGAAGATCTAGCATGCAATTAGCAGCAGCGACATGTGGCTACCAAATTCTCCGGTATCCTCAGTTTGCTGAACTTTGTTGGGCAACCTCGAAACTGAGAGAAGGCCCATATGCCCATATAAATGGGCCTTTGAAGGATTGGCCATTTAATTCTTGTATAATCTCTCCTTATAAATCACCTGAGAATGTTCCAGTCACTAATAGCCCTTCTCAGCACAAAAGCTTGGAATGTTCCATTGTTAGAGGCTTAGTGGCTGTGGGATTGTTAGCAGATAGTGGTGTCTATGGAACTGCACGTGAAGTTGCTTGCGAAATTAGGAAGGTCCTTGAGCTTTTTGTTCGGCAAATCAATACCAGGATACAGGAAGAGAAAGATAGATTTCGTTTTGTTCGTCTTCTTTCACAGGTGGCTCATCTGGAGGACATGGTCAACAGCTGGGCTTATGCAATGCAGAGGTACTAACATCCATCTTTCACTTTTCAATTAAAAACACCTTTCACTTTATTTAAGCGATTCTTGTCTAGCTAAAAGATGATGTATAACTTGGTTCATTCTGTACTTTATTGTAGTGTAGAGCTGGATGGTCAAATGTTGGCCTCAAATCATCAGGCATTGGCTAAGCCTGACCTCGATATTTCAGCTCATGCTCCTAACCTTACCAAGGATGTCCCATGTATGCGGACAACATCTTCTGATGCTTGCCATGAAGTTACAGAGCACACAGAGGTATTGGTTCCCCAGAATGCAGGGGCAGATTGTGTCGTGGGGAACTCTGAAATTGGTTTACCTTCTTTAGATGAGCCTCCGGCATTTCTAGAACAAAGGAAATCCTCTCAGGAGGGTCCCTTTACTCGACGTGTTACTGTTTCATTTAGTCAAGATTTAGAATTACTCACCCAAAAAACATCAAAGGAGCTAATGCTGGATAATATTGCACAAACTTTTGGGTCTGAGGGTGATTTGGCTGCTCATTCTGATCAATTAAATGGTATCAAGAGCTCTTCTAGCAAGACCAGCCATGCATCTGCTGGGTCTGGGATGCTATATTGTTATAAGTGTTGTTTGGAATGCTTGGAAGTTCTCCATGTCTTGGCCAAGAAATTTCTAAATGATTGCTGGAAATCTGATGGGTGCTCTTCATCATTGGAGGATGTCCATGATGTCATTGCTTCATGTTCTTCTCGCCTTTTAATAACCAGCGCAAAATTTCGTGTTAATGAAAGTTCTGGTGATTTACATGGGTCTTGTGGTGGAAAGCTAATTCACAGAACACAGAGTAAGTGTTGTGCTTGTCAAGTAGTTGGTGATACTGAAAATAGAAAAATATCATCTTCATCAAAATATTTGGGAAGTGGAGAAATGGTGCCATCAGAATGCAGATGCCATTCAAGAAGCAATAATATGGTTGGGGATAGAGGTTCCCCTAAAAGTTATCGCGATGGATCTGAATTAAAGTTTTGTTTTAGAGACTGCACACTCGTGCCTTTTGGCATGGTGCGGGATGTTTGTTTTCAATACACATTCAAGCAATTTTGTCTTTGTTCTCTTATTGAGAGACTACTAAAGGTACAGCATTTCTAATTTGTTTTGATGTTAAGTGGTATACTTTGGGTGTCGTCAGGCCTTCGAGGATTTATGTGGTGATTATTGCATCGAAGGTGCTAATGAGCTATATCCATGATTTTGTGATACAGAAACGAATTCATTGGAGTCACATTTCCTGCTGAAGTAACTATTGTAGTATAGATGTTAATGTTTCTGTCACTGTAAACTCCTCCTGGGGCCAATTTTGTCTCATCCCCTCTGCGGGAATTATTCTTTGCATGTAAGTATTGTGAGTTCTGAATTTTTTTCCTAATGATATCCATAATCCATGTTATGCATGGTTTGCCTTATTTATTCCCTTGGAGGTTTTTTAATGTGTTGATACTTTCTGTGCTTCCATTTTATGGTCTGTTACTTTTGCACAACCTACTCATTGGTTGTAGTGCTGTTGGAACCTTCGTTCATTATCATCTATCGTTAAATAACTGTCAAAATTTTATCATTATTGACGATAATCATTTTTGAGAAGAGATTCTTTATAATTATCTCATTATGGTTTGACTTGTATTCATTTTAACTTCATCGCCATTTGATATATCAAACAAAAATATGTCTCTTTCCACTTGTCAATGGAACTTTACTGCTTCCTCTTAAATGCCTGATGGGATTTTCTCATAAATTGGCAATACTTACCCCTTATATCATGTAAACTATGAAAAATTATGCTAACAAGTAGATTGTGTCATGAAAGGTGGTTACGGTAGGTGCCATGTCGATTGAATCACAGAGGCATGATACATGAAATATGTGCTGGGTCTCCCGGCATTTACCCATTTAAGAAGACAGTTGGAAATATCAATTACTGTCTTGAGGTTGTACTACTGATGAAGTGGCAAAATCATTCAAGGATGCAGTTTTTTTTTTGAGGAAATATTTGATTATATTAAGTGGAAGTGATAAATATTATTGAGAAGGCTACCCACAGGTCAGGAGCTCAATACATTCTCAATAGGACTTTGCATTATCCCTTAACAAAAAATGCAGTTTATCACATGGCGAAAATTTCAGGCAGTTGAGAGGCTACAGAAACTAGGTGTGAAGGTGGAAAGGGCTACTGAGAAGGAAAAGAGAAGTCAGAAAAAGAGGTGGTGAAGAGAAAGGGAGGATCAAAGTACAAGAAAGGAGCTAAAGTGAAGTGGGATGGGGGTGGAGGGAGTCTGAGAGCTTGAACGATAAGGAGTGAATGTGGAACATAACCCATAAACCAATTAATCCTATGAGCAAGATTCTGTGCCACCTAAATGAAAGACGAAGAAAGGGTAAAAAGGAAAGCAGGGAGGGAAAGGAAAAAGGAGGGGGATGTGAAGAAATAGAGGCGAGGCATATGGAGAGGAAAGAAATGGAGGGGGGTTTTGGATGAATGAAGGCAATTTGTAGAATGCAGAAGATGCTAGTGGAATCTTCAGCCTCTGTATGCTCCTATGTTCTCCAAAAGAGGAACTGAGCTGATGGTGTACCCTGAGTCTGAAGCTTGCCAAAAGACCCCAAGGCTGGCTTTGGAGGTTGTGAAGTAAGATGCACCTAGGTGAATAGAAGTAGATATGGAAGTGGGTTAATAGCAGCAAGAGCCATGGACAAGGGATGAGAGAACCGATGGCAATATGGATGAAGAAGCACCCTTGCAATAGCTAGTCCCTGTGAAACAATGGTATTTGGGGGAACTTTTAGCAGTTCTTCTGCAATTCATGACCCTGTATAAGTGCCAAGGGGATAGAAGCCAAGAGTACCCAAATGTGTTCCTAACACCGGGAAGGAAAAAAAAAAACTCATCTTTATGCTGCTATAACCACACACTATCAAGCATCTTTTTTCTTTTTCCCTTTTTTGTTCCTTTTTTCTTTTGGGTAGTAACTAATATGTTTTTATTTTTATTTTTATTTTTAATTTCTATTTTCCTTTTTTTTCCTTTTCTTTTCTATGTATCAAATGTTCAAGGCAGACAATGATTTGTGAACCCCTGTTATATTTGGTGTGGTCCTTTATCTTTGACAAAAACAATTTAAGTTAGTTTATGATTTATGTGTGATGTGTCATTTCAGATTTAGGTACTATTGCGCACATTTTGTGGGCTTTGAGATGTTATTGCCCAAATTTTGGAGTTTTAGGGCTGTTGATCTTGTAAAGGATTGAATGCTTCTGGTTCTATTGGATCCTTCTTGGTGTGGGAGATTGTTTGAGATGGGCCTGGAAATAATCTCCCATTTAGTGGAGCTTGGCTATGATTTTTGATACTTGTAGTACTGATGATGTCCCCTTTGAGCACGTCCTTGTGGGGGAATGAGGAGGCTGATATGCGTATTAATCACTGGTTTTTGGGTTTCGTTTTTTCGTTGATGTTGCTTTGGCACTTCCTGACATATGTACTCTTTTTGTTTCCTTGTACTTCATTTCATTTTAACAGAATTTATTGAATGTCAAAAATAAAATGTATAATTGCACATTTTGGCATTTAGAGGGCATCTAATGTATGATAACTTTTTTGTGAGGTATTGGAAGAATCACTGCACTTTTTTGTACAGGTGTATGTGTAATATGGGGTGATACTGCAAGTATTTTCCTGTTTGGATCATGGTTATAGGGATCGAAATTGCACCAGATCCAGAATTGGTATCGGGACCTTGGGATCGTGGCAAGAAGAAAGCTCTCCATGGTAGGGCCACAGTCTGTACACCTTGAAATCTTGGGATCTCGATCCAAGCTTAATAGGGATCGGATGGTAAATTATACAGGACCAACACCATCTGGTTAAAATTGAGGCCCCGAGAGCACTTAACTAATGTAGTGGTATAGTTTCTACTTTTGTAGCATACCACACTGTTATAAAAATATTATAATACTATGCAATTATATATTCTATTATATTGTACTATATGCCACTGTATTTAAATGTAAAATATACAGCTATGTAAGTTTTACTGTACAAGTAAATATTATACCACATTGCGGCACTAGACTATACTGCTGCATTATACATAATGCTAGGGAATTTTGATCCCTTCTATGCAGGACCTCGATCCCAAATTGGAAGGATTGAGATTCTAAAATTCAAGAATCACGGAGGAGCAAGATCCCCTTCCTCAAAGCGCATGATTGGGATTCCGAAGCAGAATTGACCACTTGGTAGGTGGATTCTGGTAACTATGGTTTGGTCCAGTTGTTACTTTTATGAAGATGTACTGTATTGCTACATATGGGTGTTTTGGTATATGTCCCACAGAGCTGTATATGAAAGACTATATATTTATCCAGACATTCTTGGACAGTCCATTCTTAGTCTAACAAAGAACTGATAGTTCTATTCTATGAGAAAACCAGAGACTTATGATTCATGCATTTGCGGAATTTAGTAAGAATGTACGCCTTCCTTTGCACAAAGAACTTCATTGTAATTTGGAAATTTTAAATATTGTTTTTCTGGGTCCAATTTTTACCTTCTGACATAATTTATTAACAATTTTAAGATTTTTTATATTCTAGTTATTTATTTGTCGTTTTTGTGATTCTCTTTAGACAAAAAATGGTGTATTTATTTAAATACACTAATGTCAAAAGTTTCAAAAATAAATAGTTAACGTTCTCAAATAAACAATGGTTTTATTTATTTATTTTTGAAACTGTTGACATTAGTTTATTTATTTGTCGTTTCTTTCTTTTTTTGTTTTTGGGGATGGAGGGAGGATATCAAACCTGACCTCCCTGCTGTCCCCCAAAACAGCGTAACCTTCCTGAGCATTACGTGCAGCCCCCAACTTGTAGTTTACTGAAAAACCCGTATCTGATGGTTTACTTTTCCATGAGTACATGGTGCCTGAACAAGACTTGGAGTTGGAAGGTTAGTTGTGTTCTCTGTCACAGCTTTCCTCAATAGTGCTCTAGTCTTCTTGTGGAGTATGGTTGCCAACTTGCCAGGTGTGGTACATTCAAGCTTTGCAAAGGATCCTTACCTTCTACTTTTGGTGATCCTAGAGGTGGCTCCTTCTGGGATCACTTATTTCAGTTCCTCAACATGTTTAATGTTTATCATGTGAAATAATACTAAGGACACTATGGGTCAATTTTTTAGTATTGACCATTGCTAGGTTAGAGGCAGCATTTTCCCTTGATCCAGTTGAAATTAAAGTAGAGAAGAAAACAGTTTGATAGGATCTAGAGAGAGAGAGAGAGAGAAAAGAAAATAATGATGATGATGAAGAAGGGAGAGAGAGAGATGTGTGAGAGAGGGAGCGATAGAGAGGGAAATGAGTGGCTTAGGGGGCACTTGTGACCTCTACCCGGCTTATAACATTAAGTAATAACCCTAATTAGAACTTAAGGACAATATTGTCCTTATTTAGAGACAAGATAAATAATGACTAAACGTGTTTGCTTGTGATATCTTGTACTCTGTCCCGTCCAATGGCTTTGGTGAAGATATCTGGAAGTTGATCTATAGACTTCACATGAGGAGTCTGAATGATCTGGACAACAACCTTCTCTCTATCTCTAATAAAGTGACAGTCTACTTCAAGGTGTTTAGTCCTTTCATGAAAAACATGAATTTTTGTGTTATGAATGGCTACTTCATTGTCACAATATAGAGTCATGGGAGGAGTATGGTAAGCATGCAGCTAGCACATTTGGTAACCTTGGTCCTCTACATGTGAGGGAATAATCAGAGGTAGTTATTGCGCAAAACTGAAGGCCATTCACCGGATTCGAAGGATTATGAATCTTCATCATTGCAGAGGCTCATGTTTTGTGGGGCCTTGGAGTATCCACTTAGTTATTCTCAGGGCTGCTAATTGTGCTATGAATGACAACTCCCTAAATATTACTGGGTAAGCAATGTGCCATAATTGTGGAAGATTGCGAACATTTTGGAGATTGGTGTTTGTTTTAGGGTGCACATGGCCGCCGTATGGAAGCATACAGATTTCTTGATTAGGTAGGGTATGGGCAGAGGATTAGTGGATAACGGCATTCCTCTACTTCTATTATTGTTGTTATTGCTAGTGTTGCCATTGTCATTATTATCATTAGTATCAGTATTTCCAGATGTGGCCAAGGTGACTTGGACTTGGTCGAGTTTACTCAGCCTCGGCAATGTGACAACGCGAGTACCCATGTATCCCTCTGATACATGGTTTTATACAATAAAAGGGGGTCCACTGCCCTCCTAATTTCATCTCTCTCTTTCTCTCAAAAATGAGGGCTTACCCCCCTTATTTTATCTCTCTATAAAATGGGTCACCACGCCGGTTTCATCTTTCTACCATGTGCTCTATCTCTCTTTACTTCAAGGATGAGGTGCTCTCTCTCAAAGTGGGGTGGATATTACCCGCCTTTTTCATTCCTCTTCCTCTCTCTTTCTCTCTCTTTCAGTCTCAAAGGGGGGTAGATTTCTGCCCACTTTTTTTATCTCTCTTTATATATATAAAAGGGGGCAGAAATCTGCCCCTTTGTCATCTCTCTCTCTAAGGGGGTGGAGATCCACCTGTATCTATTTTTCTCTCCTCCAAGAGAGGGGGAGGAGAGAGAGAGAGAAGAGTTCACTGTGAGAGAGAAAGAGATCCGTGTGTGTGGGTGTGTGAGAGAGAGAGAGAGAGAGATTCGTCTGTTTGTGAGGGTGTGAGAGAGAGAGGGGTTCCTTTGAGAGTGGGAGTGATGTGGCCAAAGCCCTCTCTCTCTCTCTATTTGGTCACGTGCTCAGAGATCTCTCTCTTGGGAAAGTAGCCAAAGAGCCCTCTTCTTTTATTTATTTATTTTTTGACTGCTAAGTACTTGGCCATCCAAATCCACTTGGACTCTCCCTAGTAATTCGGCTCAGGCCTGGCCCTAGTTGGTGGCCCGAGCCGAGTTCTAAAGCACTGATTATTATTATCATTATAATTATTTGTGTTACATCTCTGTTTGTCTGCATTAAGTGGTGTAGTTTAATATGTACTGCATCTGTTTTGATGATCTAGAGTGGTAACCCTTCATGAGAGCCTTTTCTCACGGTTGTGTTGAGTCCCTGTGATAATGATCTAGAATTAATTGTAATTTTTACCTCGGTTTTGTCAGCACCTATTACCTGGGATGAGCCTAATAGTTTCTGGTTTCTCAACCGTCAGAAGAACTGTATGGTATTTCTCCTGACTGTGAATGATAAGGTTTTACTCATTTAAGTAGTGACATGTGCTGATGATGTATGTGATGAGAGCAAAAATACATAGAATACTAGTAGATCTTATACAAGCTTAATGCTTCACAAGGTTTATCCTTTTCTATATAGAATGGTATGCAACTACGCATTTGTGGAATAAAATTTTGGACTCGTGGCAGTTAGATATGTTTTTAATTAGTTATTAATTTACTTCATCTATATGTGTGTGTGTGTGTAATCTAATTATGTATCAATTGCGATCATTCTTTGTGATATGACGACTTATGGTCTAACTGAGAGTATGGCCCTTGATAGAGCGGAATGACAACACATGATGTGTGTGGCCGACCCCAAATAACAGGGATAAGACTCGAATAATGATGATGATATTTAATGTTACATTTTTTCATTTATCAGAAGCTTATGCTCTTGCACCTCTTTTCAGTTCATTTTCTTTTTTACTTCACTTTGTTTTTTACTAGATTGATTCATGGGAAGACTACTCTCAGATCTCATTTCATAGACCACCAACTCGGATGCCATCAATACCGCGGTGTGAAAGTTCTGCTTGTATGCTTGATATTGCTACCATGCTCTCCTTTTTGCTTCTTTGACCCTAAGTATGCATCACAAGACTGCAATACCTCGACATGGATTTTTTATGCCAAATTTTTAATACCTCACATTGGGAATACCTATTTCTTAGAGATGACTGGTGGTAGTGATTTATCTTGTGCAAGATAATATGTGTTGTTTGGGCTGTAGAAATGTACTGGCTAACAGTGCATGGAATTGCGTATGAGAGGATTTGAGCCTCTGTAATATTTTCTCACTTCCCAAGAGAGTTCTAAGGGATTTTACCGAGGCACCTGATTTTTGATAAATTTTAAACATTGGCGGTAGAGAATCACCAGTTGCAAGTTCCCAGATCTTCTGGTTGGTGGTACCCATATCCTGAAGCTCAAGTTTGATGGTAGTGCATTTCTAGACAGCCTTTTGGGGTGGGAGGCAATACGAGGGGTTTCCATTGCATCATCATTACGAGATATGCCATACTATTAATTTTTGTGGTTTTAATGTACTTTGGGCTCATTATTGAATTGGCTCTAGTAAATGAACTACGAAGGCTACCACTATATTTTATTTATGTAGAACCTCTATATGTATATGAATACAATCTTTATTTCATTTATGAATTGAGGATTTTATTCTCATTTCATCAGAGCAGATGGAGTTGTTCTCATAGCAAAGTAGGATTTCTTTCCACAACTCGAGATTCCAAGTGTCCTCTCTCTCTCTCTCTGTCTGACTTATATGCTCCCCCTTTCATTTGTTAACTTATTTGATCCCGATGAGGCAGTTTTATTTCTGTTTTTTTTTTTTTGATAGATAAAATTTGTATTCAAAGTAGTGTCAAAGCAAGATGCATTGAGGAGCAATTCAGATGCTATTGATGCAGGTTGTCCCAATAATTGTCAATCAATGACTGGGTGTCGCACATTTCTTTTTCTTGAAGAAAAGAATATCACACATTTCTTGAGCATGATTTGACTTTGACCTACCATTGCTCTATTTTATTGCTGAAGCAGAACATCAGTTTAGGGCGTTCGGTGCGGACAAGGTTCCAGGTATGGAGTTTTCGTAAGAGATCTTGGTGAATAACATTCTCAGATGGCTACACTTTGATGGACAATCGCAATTATTCATCTCTTTCATGCTCTCACCAAGCACATTGAGAAAGGGGATCACTTTTTGAGACATGTTTTATTGGGTGGGATGGACATAGTCAATGCTCGGTCCCATGCTCCAGTGGCTGACACTGATGGCAAAGGCTCGTCTACCCAAGTATAGCTTTAATGGATTACGAGAAAATTGGCTATTCATCATGCTTCATGTCCCATATTGAGGGGGACTGCAAACTGTGAAGAGACAAGCATAGTTTAATTACACTTATATTCTTTATTTTTTTCACTGTGTACTTCTGCTCATTGTTTGAGAAGCTTCTTGTGATTTTCTTATGAGGTTACTACTGTGATTTGTTCAAGTAGTAAAGTTATATATGCATCAATACAATGTCCTTCACGTATCTATATTATCCAATTGATGTATTATGTCCTGCAGGTTTTGTTTCTGCAATCTGACATCATAATGATGATGATGATGATGATGATGATATTATTATTATTTAGTATCAGGCTTCTAAATTTTCATAGCCCCCGCCCCTCGTCTTTCTCTCCCCTCCCGCTCTTTCTAATTTGTACTAAATAATGAGCTAACGAGTCTCCTTCCTTTTGCCATCAGACTTCCCAATCAAATTCATTGTAAAAATTATAATGACCGACTTTATGAAGATCCTAGGGGATTGGGGAAGCTCGTCACTTTTGTCATGATAGACCCCAATTTATTGCTTCTTCTTCACCAATAATGTGTGCCACTTCAACTTGTTCCAAAAAGATGGGATTATGTGGCTTGAACACAACTTGGGAGATGCTTAAATGATGATGTGAGATGCAGTCCAAATGGGTTCTCTATTAAGAATATTTGAGATCACCATTAAAACTGAATGGTTGAAAGCTTGAAACTCCCAGGGGTTTGCCACAATATGGGATAATAATGCTATAGGATATGCACAGAGGAGAGGATTTTGGAGAAGGCTGTATCAAGATATGGGGTACTGTCAAACTTGTATTCCTTGTGCTGTCAAGTGCATAAGAAGAGATGCTTCTCATTGGTTTGCATCCACTTTATTGCGAGTGCAGGTATTCCGCACAGAACTGACAACCGAGATTGTGCATGTGAGTATGTGGAAGTCTGAAGCTACGAGATATGAAATGGATAACAGCCAAGAAGCACATGTGGATGCCCTTCACTTTCTTAGGTGGAAAATGGCTATAGTGACTTAATCCTTCTCGCCTTTCAGCCTTAACCTTTCACTGGAGTTCTTTGGACGTGAATTCTGATGCATGATGCCATTTTCCACAGATAAGTTAGAATGGATATAGGAGATCTGTTTGTACTTGTTTATTCATTATTTAAAAAACAGGAATTTCTATTTCTTTGGAAGTTTTTGCATTTCATGCATGGGATGCTTTTATTAGGGTTCTGGTGAATTAACACGCATAAGTTAACTATTGATTGGGAGTCTTTATTATCTTTATGTAGTGCTTAAGGTACTCTTCTTGTGAATCATTGTTCCATCTTTCTCTAGCCCTTGATTGTTCCTCCTTTGGCAATCATGTTCTTAAAGACATAATGTGTTGTAAGACATAATGTTTGATTATGAGTTTCAAAGAGATCCTAGATCTTAGATTTGCCTTGATAATCGGCAACTGTGACTTAAAGCCAGAAGGAAATCAAGCTAATATGCCCAAGTTTATCAGAAATCACACCTGAAAATGGAAAAGCGATTTTCATGGTATAAAAAGGGACAGTGAGAGATATTGATTGCTTGTACGGAGGCATCTACCCAAAAAGAGTACATAGGTAACTCCGCTTCAAATTCGAATTTATGAAAAATGAAAATTTGGAGTGGGGGTAGAAATTAGAAAATGCTCTTTCTAAATCAATTATGACATAGCTTGAGAAAATTAGATAGAGTAGCAAATATTTCTCGTCATTGCCAGTAATAGCCATTGTTCGTTTAGCACTTAATCTAAGGATTTGAAGCCAGCTCAATAATTACTTTAGGTAAATATTATCATATTTAATTTCATTGGATCTCTCTCTCGTCCCCTCTCAATGTCTCCATCTCTTTCTGTATAAATTTTAGGGAAAAGCTATCTATGTTCTCTCTACAACATAGAAGTTCTATCTTCCTTTTTATCCACCTTCCATTTTTGAATGGAGGGTTAAGATTGGCCCAATCACAATGTAATGTCTCTACACTGTTTTATTATTATTGTTATTTTTTCTATAAACTGTTTTGATACTAAATTTTATACGTCCATTAAACTCGTACTAATGGAAAAATATAAAAAAAAATATTTTTAATAAAATAAAATAACCCAAATACACTTGAAAGATTCAAGGGGTATTTTGGCCATTATTTTTTATGGAAAAATTATTGTTAGTATTTTTTATTGGTGTGCCCCAATGAGATATCGGATCTAAGATCAAACGGTGATTGAGATATTGGTGTGCTCCAATGAGAGAGAAAAGCTTTCCCAAATCTTATTTCCTCTCCCATCAGATTCCTACCTAGATTCTCTACTTGAATATTTTCGCCTTTCCCTCAAGTCTTTCATTAGATTCCTTATTTTCTATCTGTCTCATGCCCTTTCTCCATCTAATTTTAATTTCCCTCTCATGGGTTCTTGGTCTCTTATCAAATTTTCACGCATATAAATTTCCCTCTCATAGGTTCTTGGTCTCTTTTCAAATTTTCATGCATGTAAATTTCTCGTCTCATGGGCTATAAACCCATAAAATGCCTCTTGTTTCTCTCTCATCCCCTTTTAAGAGCAGTACCCTTTTAGTTATCCTCCTTTCTAAAAACTTAATTTAGGTTAACAGTGAAAGGTGAAGTGAATAATTTAGGAAAAGAGAACAAAAAAGAAAAGAAAAGGACGTACATTTATAAATCTGTAGTTAGGTGAAAGCATATGAATGATTTGGGATTTCATCGCAATAACATTAGTTTAGAAACAAACCACCAGAACAAAAGAATCCCAAAAATTTGCAGTCACTAATCAGGAAATAAGTTTTATGGGAACCAAAATCCACAAAAACGCATTTCCATTATTTGGCAAGCAAGTTCTACTGCAGATTTTGGTTCCTAGTAAGTTTGGATACCGTAAATTTTCAAGATTTTCAAGTTTTCATATATCTGCTGGATCTACGTTATTTTTTAAGCTTTAAATTGTATAATTAAAGATGAAAATATACTTTAAGGCTATCACAAAGATTTCCAGTATGGAAATCACATTTCTCGACACTATTTGAAGGAGTACTTACTTTGATTGTTTAGAGCCTGCTCTATACAAACTGCACCATTTAAAATAAGGAGCAAGTGTATATAAGGTTGCAACCTTCAAATGAAGAATTACCAATGCAGCTAAAAAATCCAGCTAAAAAATCCATCGGAAAAGGTGATTTTAATGTTGAAAAAACCTCTAATTGATAATCAAGATGTATGAATATAAAAAAAAAGAAAGAAGGATTTTGAGTCCTAGAAGTAGTGCATTTTGCAATAAATTACCTTGACTGTCCATCTTCAAAACTTTCATATATTTATAGATCTACTTGATTTTAACCGTTTTTTGAGTTAAAATTTATAATTAGATATGAAAATAGATTTTGAGATAATTCTAAGAATTTTTAGTGCCTTAATTAGATTGTTTAAGGTTGCTTCCTACAAATTTCATATTCAGAAGATTTGTATTAAAAAACTAAAAATAACATACTTTGCAGCGGCGGATCTAAGATCAAACGATGAATGGCTCTCTTGATAAAAAATGGACTGCTCGATGCTAGGGGGAAGATAAAACTTCTATGTTGTAGTGGGAACATAGAAAACTTTTCCAATATTATTTGGGTCAAAATTATTGCTTCCAAACCGCTCACTAAAGTTCCGGGTGGTTCGCAATTAATAGTTATGGGCTGCTTTGATCTATCCTTCATAATCATATGTAAGGACAAAGCAATATGGAACTAATGGGCAATGATCTAATACAACGGTTGTATTATAGTATAGTATAGTAGAAAACCATGTTTGTGGTATTTGTATGACCTAAAAGTTTGCACACACACTCTCTTAATCGCAATAATCAATATCAAAAAAATAAAAGTTCAATTTGAACCCTAGATAAGGTCAAAATGAGTCCCCTCCAACAAATAATCTAAGACCATTCATTTGGTGAATTTCAAGATCTTAGCCTTTACAAACTCAAAATCATTTTTTTTTCTTTTTCAACATTGTTCATCTAATGATAATAAAGTCATCTAAAAAAATTGAAAAAGAAAAAAATCCTTCTAAAGCCTACATCTAAGCATCTTATCAAAATGGACGGCCAATGTTAATTGGGCTAAAAAATACTTTCTAGATTGTATTTTCAAATTCTTCTTGCCCTTTTAGAGCGTTCCATAACATCAATAAGACTATAAATCTCCATATATTTTTTACAGCTCCCATCTATGTTGTTTGGCCTTCCCCTTGCCCTTTTAGAGTGTTTACTTGTATTAAATTGCACCTCCTAACCAGTGCTGTATTGAGTTTGCGTTGCATATGGTCAGCCTATCTAAATCTACTTTATCTTATCTTGTTGCTTATTGGAGTCACCCCTAAATTCCCTCGAATATATTCATTTCAAATTCTATTTTTCTTGTCTTGCCACTCATCCATCTCAACATTCTCATATCTACCTTCATCATATAGGTATGTTGTTTCTTGACTGCCCAAGATTTCATCCCATAAAACAAAAATGGTCTCACAATTGTCCTCTAGAACTTTTCCTTTAGTTTCATTGATATGCGGCGATTTCTAGTTGCATATCTCTACTTCGTTCATCGAGATCTAATTCTATATGTGACATCTTCTTTAATATTTCTATTTCCTTGGATTATTGACCCAAGATATCGAAAATACGATCTTTTAGATATTTTTTGGCCATTAATCTTAACTACTTCATCGTTTTTACTATTATTACGAAATTTGCATTCCATATATTCTAGTCTTGCTAACTTTAAAAGCTTTTAACTTTGCATATATTCTAGAGTACCCCCTAATGTTTTAACTTTGCATTAATGTTACTTCTTGTCTCATCGATAAAAACTATGTCATTTATGAAAAATATACACCATCGTACTTTATCTTGTAAATGCTTATTTAACTCGTCCATAATAGAGATACGGGCTTAACACTGACCCTTGATATAGACCTATTGTCACTGAAAACTCACTTCTCTCCATTAGTTGTCCGCACACTAGTTAGGCTTCCTCATGCATATCTCTCACCATATCACTATATTATTTGATGATTCATTTTCTTTTTTAATACCCACTAAATTAAATCTCTAGGTACTCTATCGTAAGCTTTTTCTAAATCAATAAAGACCATGTGGAGGTTTTTTCTCTTCTCCCTGAATTTTTCAATCGGTTGTCCAAGTAGAAAAATGCTATCAATTATTGACCTCCCTGGTATAAAACCAAATTTATTTTTTCATACATGCATTTCATGTCTTAGTCATCGCTCAATCGCTCTCTCCCACAGCTTTATAGGATGGCTCATAAATTTGATCCCTCAATAGTTTGGTCAATTTTGTACACCTTATTTGTTCTTGTAAATAAAAACCATAATACTTTTCATCCATTTGTGTGACATTTTTTTTGTTCTCAACATGTTGAACAACTCGGTCAGCCAACATATGCCAATCTACCCTATGCAATTCCAAATCTCTATCGGAATACCGTCTAATTTTAAATATCACTAGTTAGGATATTATATTTCCTTATAAATTTTGAGCATTAGAATATAGTCATTGACTTCATAACAGACAAAAAAAAAGATGATGGCTAGATGAACAACTTGGTCTGCCATGCACTTCCAAATCTCTATCAAAATATCATGTGGTCCTAAATATCACCAGCAAAGATATCGTATTTCTCTATAAATTTTAAGCAGTAAAATATAGGTACAGTTTGCATACGGATGCATCCATAGGTGTAGAGGTAAGGTGCACCTTCAAATTTTATCATGATATATAATTTTGATGTAAAATGTTCTTAGGATTATCTCAAAATCTATTTTTATATCTAATTATAAAATTTTAAATTTAAAAAATGGTTAAAATCAAGTAGATCTATAAACATATGAAAATCTTGAAATTGGACGGTGTAGATAATATGTTGTAAAATACACTATTTCTGAGACTTAAAATCTTTTTATTTTTCATAGTCATATATCTCAAGGTCGAGATGATCAATCAAAGGGTTTTTCAACATTAAAACTACCTTCTCCAATGAATTTTTGAAGAGCATATGTAGTTCTACATTATAAGGTAGCATCCTTATATAAAATTTTTCCTTAATTTATAGTCATCGACTTCATGAGATATAAAAGAAAAGATGATGGGTAGATGGGCCCCACTCTTTTAAGCTGCATGGACATGGACGACCCCCATAAGACATGCACCAATTAGAGACCTGTTATAGCAACCATATGGCTTTCCTTTATGTCAAGTCCATGATAAAATAATATCATATTGTATGGGTCTTTTGGTTACCTTTGTTCATCTTTCATATTTCTTGGCTTAGTTTAAAGCCTAGAACTTTGAAAATCCATCTCTCTTACCCACGAGACAAAATCTGTAATTTCTAAATGCCCTTGTACTTTTCTCTAAATAATATTTTATTTTGAAAAATGATGACCCTTTTTGGTCCTTCTACAAAGGTGGTCACCATTACAAAATTGGTTTCTTTTTTGGAAAATAATACAATATACAAGTAGCGAATGGTGGGCAGTAGAGACATCTTAGATAATTATTTTCATAAAGAGCTTTAATTTTGAGTTTATAAACACATGGAAAGGCTCTATTTGATATTATATTGCTATCTTATATTAGATTTTTATTTATTTATTCCTTTTTAAGGTTGGTCATCACGGCGTCGATGTTGCATTTCCAAATTGTAGGATGATAAATATGTGGGTAAACTTTATATAAGGTTGAAACCTTGAAATGTAGAACTACGGATGCACCTAAAAAATCCATCGGTAAAAGTTTTTTTAATGTTGAAAAACCCTTTAATTGGTCATCTCGAAATCGAGATGCATGACTATGAAAAAAAAAGATATTGAGTCCCAAAAATGATACATCTTACAACACATTATCTAGACCGTCCATTTTCAAGATTTTCATATGGTTATAGATCGACTTGATTTTAATCATTTTTATAGTTTAAAATTTTATAATTAGATTTGAAAATAGATTTTGAAATAAAGAATATTATACATCAAAATTATATGTTATAATAAAATTTGAAGGTGCACCTTAAATGGATTAAGGTTGCAACCTTATGGAAACCACACCGGAGGAAGTGAACTTTTAATGGATTCCAATATATACATTCAAATCTTTGCTTTCATATTAGAACCTTAAATTCTCTTTTCATTCAACAACTTATTAGTTTACATTAAGAAAATCATAAAATTATACATATATAGAATGCTTATGTTAGGAGCATGTATTGAAATTTTTTTTACACTTTTTCATATGGCACAAGATGATCTCGCTCTTAACAATGAATTTTTAAGGGTGTGATTTGTATTAAGCCGAGGCCATAAACAAACAAAATAGGACGCACCTTTAAATAGTGTCGAAATATGTTGGTTCAATATTAAAAATCTTTATGATAGCCTGAAAATTTATTTCTCTTTCTAATTATACAACTTAAAGTTAAAAAATAGTGCAGATCAAGCAGATTTACAAAACATTTGAAAATATTGAAAATTGATGGTCTAGATAATATATTATAAGATGCACTATTTTCAAGAATTAAAATCTATTTTTTCTCATGTCCATACAACTTTAGGTCGAGATGATGGGAATGTGGGTTTTTCAACATTAAAACAACATTTTCTAATTAATTTTTGAGAGGCGCCTTAATTTGATTGTTTAGGGCCTGACCTTTATATTAAAATTTTCCAATTTTTCATTATAATATTATTTCTACATACAAAAAAATCACGAGTTAAAAAGTGCAATGCATGGTCTACTGCTGGTAAGTATATGTAATGCAAAAGGAGGTTTTTAAGTTGCCTAAACACTTAATTTAATCATCCAATATTGAACTGCTTTTGTTCAATAGTGCAAGGAACTTTCCTTCTTACATTCTTCTTTTCTTTAATTTGGTGTGTACTTATGTTTTTTACGTTGGTGGGTAGGTTAAGGAAGTTATATCCCCAAATTCTAGGTCCTAAACATACTCCTAGAAAGGGTTCTAACTGAGGGAGAGAATGTAAGATGTGCTCCCAAGGGAGACATACTCTTTTGGCAAGGAGCAATCTAGAAAGATAACAGACATTAAAAGAATAATATCATGATATTCTTAAACGATTCTATTCTTAAGAAGGAATTCAACATTGCCAAAAGCCTTGGATGTCTGCTTCCTCCTTGCTGTAATTTGCAGGAGTGCCCCATCTGCAAGCATCTGTTGCAACACCCTAGTGATGTTCTTTGCATCATCGATGCCAAGATGATGGCTTCCCATCATTGAAATGCCTAATCCTTTCATCATGGCCATCATTCCGGTTGCCTAATACAAAATAACAAAAAGTAATTATGTTTTTGAGTGGGCATTCAAATGAAAAAGATTATGGTGTTTCAGTTCATGGTAACTGGTATATGACAATGATCTTAATGATTCCTTACTCTCTTATTGTAAAAATTAAGGTAGATATCCTTCAAATTAATCCACTCCCTGAAATAAGAAGGCAGCTCTATGCACGAGACCTCACATTGTTGAGGGACTTTTGTCTTCAAATCCCAATTTCCACTGTCCAAAAACACAAAAAAAGGTTCATACCCGTGGATGCACAAATTGTAACTGCATGAAATAAAAGAACCTGAACACAGCAAAGTTGAACCGATTCAATCATTTTGATCGTAGTCTAATAAAAGACATTTCAGTTGAAGCTAAAATCAGTCAGAAGAAGCTTCAATGTATGCCCAATTTGAGCTACCAGTCGATAGAGAAAACACCTTTTTTTGGCTAAGTTTGTCAATACACAAGTTAGCATGGATCTACGAGGAAGTTCAAAATGGGTTAACAAGAAGCTTCTTTTTATTTTCTGACAAGTTACTGAACAGGTAAGATAGATAGTTTAATCAAACTAATGACTCCAAAGTAAGTGGTCAAAGTGAAATGAACAATATGCAATTGTTCATGTGATACATAATAAAATTATGTACAACAACATAGTGACTAAACAATTGCAATTCCCCGTCTTCATATTAAGGAAAGATTGAAGGAACAATGATCCTATAGTAATTGTTTGAATGATAAGACTACTTGTAGATAAACGAGAACCTCGATATAAACGAAATAACTGAAGATAGAAGGACAAATATTAACAGCTAAATTTTCAGCACTGAATAACAAACTAACCAAGTAACAAATGCAGCTTGATGGAGCCATTTCTCTCTCTCTTTCAACAACAGATGCTGTGTCATCCATAGCTCAAATTGCGGAAGAAGTTCTTGAAATGTGATCGCAGTATCAAACCAAACACTGCACTCCAAAAACCAAGTAAAATAAATTGACAAATCATATCATTGGATTATAGCAAAGGTTTATAGCACAGTTGTCTATGAATGAAACCTGAACCTCATGGTTTTGATAAGAAATTAGTATTCTTTAGATAATAATCAGAAGTTAGTGAAAACTCCGGTTCAGATGGTTTATGACATTTTATTTCAAAGATAAAAGACATAAGAATATGATGCGGAACCCAATCATATAGGCACAATAAGTTTCAGAAAAACATTTAGCATGAACCACAAATTCGCAATGCCTTGAAACAAATTGAGGACAATGAGGTGAATTTGGGAAAAAAAGATATAGAGGTTCACTTTCACAAGTTATAAGTTATAACCATTAAAATATTCATCAACTACAGATAAATTCAGGGTGCTGTTTTCTGGTCTCAAAATGATTCACTAGGAAGACCATGCCAAAAAAAGACACTAATGAATCATGTTCACCAAGAAGCATAAACAAATCTTATCCCTATAGACATTACAACCATTAGACCGTCAACAAACAACAAAAAATTCCAAAAAATAATAAAAAACAAAGAGCGAAATGAGATACAAAACCATTATTAATCAGAAAATGCACCCGAAAATGAGCAATGGAATCAGCTGCTATCCTTCCCAAACCCCAGATTGAGAGAGAAGAGGGTGGGTCAAAGAGTGAGGCAGAAGAGAGAGAAGGGGGCAAATCAAAGAGAGAGAGGATAGATGGAGAGAAAAAATATGAAGGAGGGGGAGGGGTGGTCTGGCTAAGGAGGATTTGGGAGAGGGTGATTGTTCTCCCTTTTATGGTTAGAGAAATGAAGGAACGAAGAAAGAGAGGGAGCGAGAGGGCCAGATGGCTGGAGAGTGCAAGGGATAGAGAGATGGAGGTGAAGAAGGAGAGGGGCTTGGCAGTTAGAGAGAAAAGGGTTATAGAGAGAAAGAGAAGGCCCAATAGACACGCGTATAGTTTAGAATTTCTAAAGATCTCTTTTAGGAAGTTGTGATAAAGGGAAAAATTGAAAGAGAAAATTTGAAACCCCTTTTGAGTGTACACAGAGGGGTTCTTGGGATGGAATATGAAGGTTGGGGTGTGAGCATGTCATTTCCCTCAACTATAATTATAGTTACTGGAATTGTCCACCCTAGGTAGTGCGATTCTGTGTTTCTGTGAAGGAATCTCCATTATTCTGTTTCTTGGAAGTTAGAAATCACGATTCCATATTTTTTTAATCTCGTTATGATGTATTTGGAATCTAGATTCCACCTCACCAATTTTGCGACTCATAGATGCACAATACCAAGACTGAACCGATATGAGACTTCGCTTCCAATTTTTAGGAATAACGACAAGAGATATTTCGAATCTAAATCCACAATATCAAAATGATCGCCAAGATTTTATGGAACCCTTGGGATTTTTAAAAACTACTACAAAATTTTTTTATTTAAAATTTATCAATAAAAAATATATGATGGGTATCTAAAAATTCCATGAGTGTCGACAAACTCTAGCTTACAGCATTCCTAAATTTTGGGAATTTGTAATAAATGTCTCATTTCTTAAAAATTTTATTTTCATTATTCTTTATAAAAACTATAGGAAAGTACTTAGATAAAGATAGTGGACCTAGTTTCCAATACATGTGGAGAACTGTGATAAAAGGCACTTCATACATCGACTGCAATGTCAGGGGAGGGCTTCCAAAGACATCAATTCCAATAATAGGGGAGCCCTGGATAAGCCTACTCAATATATGGAGTCCAATATTAAGGATTCTTGCTTATATATAATCTAAAACCTTAAATCTTTGCCTTTTGGAACTCGTTTCTTCCTAATTTCTGGCTTGGTTCCAAGTGGTTTTGTGCTTGATTCCAAGTTGATGGGTCAACAATTCCAAAAATGTAGGAATCATTATTCCTAGTAGATTGGATCACGATTTCCAAATGGTAGGAATCCCGCTTTATGTATTATGCATTGTAAGATAGCGATTCTGACTATATGAATCATCTAGCCAACCAAGATTCTATGATTTCGATTCTGACTATATGAATCATCTAGCCAACCGAGATTCCATGATTTCAATTCGTGAAACTATTCGGAATCATCAGCATTTCCAACAACTATAACTACAATATCTACTCAAGCACATTGTTAAATGAAAGCTTTTCATCTTGTCTGTGAAGTTCAGATCATAATATCCTATTTGGATTTCTTCTTGTTGTCACTTTCACTAAAGCATGTTTTGCTCATTTGCAGATGGAAAGTACAAAATAACTCATTTTACAGACACACATGCACACACAAAAGGAATCCAACTATGCCAGGCAAGTGCCAATAAATTGAGAAAAAAAATATTGAATATGATGTTGACTTTGAAATGACAAACAGTGCAGGTATAGGTAACATACCGATCAACACCCAGTTTTCCATATTTCCCTTCTATATATTCTTTTATTCTCCTCTCACTCATTTGAACAGGCCTCACAAATCTGCAACACAAACACATAAGTCAGCCTATTTTCATCATAATGTCAAATTGGGAAAAGTATGCTGAACAAGTGTATTAAGAGAAAGTCTAGATATTTTAACTTATAATCAAAATCTGAGTTAAACCATGTAGCACACATTGAAATCTCTTAAAGTTTGGGAATTTCAACTAACATTGTAGCTTACTGAAATTCAATAATGACCTTGTGACATTTTTTGCATGTATAGTATTCCCCAGGGTTTGAAAACTCGCTGAGTCGAGCCGGACTCGCCCGGTTCGACTCGAGAATCGTCGGCTACCGAGCTGGTTCCACGAAAACATAGGGAATCGCCCGTGTCCAAAGAGAACCGGGCGATTCCCGACGATTCTCAATAGTAAATCGCGAAAATTTTTGGGTTTACACGTGGCCGCCTCACGAGAGCAACACGCGGCACTTAAAAATCCTTCACACGAGGCAATTCACTTCACTCATATGCCCCCCTCGCTTTTCTACACGCACAGCTGATGGACTAGTACACAGCACTTTATAGAGAACAAAGGGTCGCTCATCCTTCGATGTGGGATAATTCCCACAAAAAATCATTCAAGCAAGATGATTGAATATGTATTATATTATAGAAGCTACTGAATCACATCAGGCGATGAGCTGGTGTTGGTTGACAACCTTGAATTTCGGCGGGCGTCTTGAGTTCGAACCCCGCGCGTCGTCGTTTTATAATACAACAGTTTTTTAAGAAAAAGATAAAAAATAAAGATAAAGATAAAAAATAAAAATCTTTTCAAGATAATGAACAAAAATCTTGAAATAAAATAGAAAAAATAAAAAGCTTTTCTTGTTGTAAAAAAAGCTTAAAAAATAAAAAATAAAAAGCTTTTCAAGATAAAGATAAAAAATATAATACAACATTTTTTTATTTTTCTTGTAAAAAAAAATACAAGGTAATATAAAAAGTATTTCTTGCAAAAAAATAAAACAAAAGGCGTAAAATTTTTTTTTGACAACAAAAATAAACAAAGGCAGAAAATACTGTTGTAAAAAAACAGAAAAAATAAAAAATAAAAGCCTTTTCAAGATAAAGATAAAAAATATAATACAACATTTTTTTATTTTTTTTGTAAAAAAAATTCAAGGTAATATAACAAGTATTTATTGCAAAAAAATAAAACAAAAGGCATAAAAAAATAAAATGTACTTTGGCAGCATCATTTTTTTATTTTTCTTGTAAAAAAAAATAAAAAGTAATACAACAAGCAAAAAAAAATGTAGTACAACGTCTTCTTCTTTTGTCAAAAAAAAAAAAAAAAAAAAATCAACAAGTATCATATTTTTCTTGTAAAAAGAAATAAAAGATAACACAATAAGTATTTCTTGTCAAAAAAATAAAAGGTCTTTCTTAATACAACCTAGGAATAAATGGTCTAATTATATTTTTTATTTTTATAACATGATAGTCTTTAACATAAATTTAGTAATATTAATTTAAAGATAGGATTCATACAATTGAAATCTCTCTTTCTGCTAACAATCTTTTCTACTAATTTATTCTAGAAACCTAAAAACTTAAAGAAAATTGGTACGCATTCTAATAATTTCTACAT